TATCTAACGTTCCAGATTGTCTAGTTAAATACTGATATCCAACATCCCAGTTCATGATTGTCCAGTTAAATACTGATATCCAACATCCCAGTTCATGATTATCTAGTTAAATACTGATATCCAACATCCCAGTTCATGACTGTCTAGTTAAATATTGGTATCTAACATCCCAGTTCATGATTGTCCAGTTAAATACTAATATCCAACATCCTAGTTCATGATTGTCTAGTTAAATATTGGTATCCAACATCCCAGTTCATGATTGTCCAGTTAAATACTGATATCCAAAATCCCAGTTCATGATTATCTAGTTAAATACTGATATCCAACATCCCAGTTCATGATTGTCCAGTTAAATATTGATATCCAACGTTCATGATTGTCTAGTTAGATACTGATATCCAACATCCCAGTTCATTATTGTCTAGTTAAATATTGATATCCAACATCCCAGTTCATGATTGTCCAATTAAATACTGATATCCAAAATCCCAGTTCATGATTGTCTAGTTAAATATTGATATCCAACGTTCCAGATTGTCTAGTTAGATACTGATATCCAACATCCCAGTTCATGATTGTCCAGTTAAATATTGATATCCAACGTTCATGATTGTCTAGTTAGATACTGATATCCAACATCTCAGTTCATGATTGTCCAGTTAAATATTGATATCCAACGTTCCAGATTGTCTAGTTAGATACTGATATCCAACGTTCCAGATTGTCTAGTTAAATATTGATATCCAACATCCCAGTTCATGATTGTCCAGTTAAATATTGATATCCAACGTTCCAGATTCTCTAGTTAGATACTGATATCCAACATCCCAGTTCATGATTGTCCAGTTAAATATTGATATCCAACATCCCAGTTCATGATTGTCCAGTTAAATATTGATATCCAACGTTCCAGATTGTCTAGTTAGATACTGATATCCAACATCCCAGTTCATGATTGTCCAGTTAAATATTGATTGTTCCAGATTGTCCAGTTAAATACTGATATCCAACATCCCAGTTCATGATTGTCTAGTTAAATATTGATATCCAACATCCCAGTTCATGATTGTCCAGTTAGATACAGATTTCCAACATCCCAGTTCATGATTGTCTAGTTAAATACTGATATCTAACGTTCCAGATTGTCTAGTTAAGTACTGATATCCAACATCCCAGTTCATGATTGTCCAGTTAAATACTGATATCCAACATTCCAGTTCATGATTGTCTAGTTAAATATTGATATCCAACATCCCAGTTCATGATTGTCTAGTTAAATCATCTCATTGGTTTTTATTTTATCTGAGCCATTAATTAAGAAAAACAAAGAACTGAAAAATGCAAGAAAACAAATAAATTATCAATGTGTAACTTAGAACTAGTATTATGTAACCAGAAAAATGCAGAAAGCATGCGTACAGGTCTCAGGTAAAGTTTATGCTTGGCCACTGAAAACTGTGGTCTTGTTTATAAGGAGATTTAATCACAAATTATAGGAACGACTTGCATATACTAATATAATAGTGTGTCGTCAAAGATACGAACCGTGATGCTACAAGCAACATGCTTAGCACCAATATATTTGGTTATTGGAGAATTATCGATCAGTTCACAGTGCAATACTAGACTTATCGGTGGAGAATCGTCGCACTTTTGTCCACCACACGTATGACTGCTGCAAACTTTGTCTACGTTCACTAGTTGGTTGTTCAGAAAAACACACTTCACTCAGTACATTACAATTAACAGGATGTGCATATGATAAACATAAGTTGCTTCTCAGTTACATTAGTGAAGAAAAACAAACCGCAGGAAACTACGGAAAATACTTAATTCGTGTAATATTGGTACAGGTCTGACCTATAGGTGTTTGTAATATTGGTACAGGTCTGACCTATAGTTGTTTTGTAATATTGGTACAGGTCTGACCTGTAGTTGTTTTGTAATATTGGTACAGGTCTGACCTATAGTTGTTTTGTAATTTTGGTACAGGTCTGACCTATAGTTGTTTTGTAATATTGGTACAGGTCTGACCTGTAGTTGTTTTGTAATATTGGTACAGGTCTGACCTATAGTTGTTTTGTAATATTGGTACAGGTCTGACCCATAGTTGTTTTGTAATATTGGTACATGTCTGACCTATAGTTGTTTTGTAATATTGGTGCAGGTCTGACCTATAGTTGTTTTGTAATATTGGTACAGGTCTGACTCATAGTTGTTTTGTAATATTGGTACATGTCTGACCTATAGTTGTTTTGTAATATTGGTACAGGTCTGACCTATAGTTGTTTTGTAATATTGGTACAGGTCTGACCCATAGTTGTTTTGTAATATTGGTACATGTCTGACCTATAGTTGTTTTGTAATATTGGTACAGGTCTGACCTATAGTTGTTTTGTAATATTGGTACAGGTCTGACCCATAGTTGTTTTGTAATATTGGTACATGTCTGACCTATAGTTGTTTTGTAATTTTGGTAC